GCAATACCATATTGTTATTCTTTGGAGTAATGATTATTTAATGTGAATTCCACAGTAGTGGTACAATGTCTAGTTGCATCTTTATATACCTTAGTATAACTGACAACATGATTTGAAGAATTTAAGTGCTGGAAGAAAATACTCAGTGGGTCAATTATTAGTAATAAATATGTATACAGAGTTCACTCCTCTTGTTTCTTTTAGTTACCTGTTCAAATGTCATATCATGAGGGAAGACTTTACTGGGGCTAGGAAATATATGTATTGTTTATATCCTCAGTGAATATATATATTATTTAAACTCAAACCACCATCTCCATCTTCCATCTGTTTTGTAAGCTAAACCAGTTTTAATTGTCTTCAAATGAATTCTTACCACATGGTATACTATATTTCTTTGTTTTATGTTTGTTTTCTGCCCATCCTAATTAGAGTGTAATCTTTATTAAACTTGGTTTGGTTCAGTGCTTTGTCTTCAGCACATTGAACAATGCTAATGCACAGTAGGTACAGCAGCCCACCACATATGTGATAAGAATCTAGGAGAATGGCAAGTTGCTTCTTCAATTTCAGTTTCCAGCACTTTCTCTCCCAGGAAAAATTGAAGATACATGCAAATGACATTATATATAGGCTTCTCTGACCCCTCATCTGATTGGCAAAAAAAATAGCTGGACATTATTCTAGGGACATTAGACTCCCACACAGTATTTGCAGACCATTATAAAATATTGATTGAATGAATTTCCTGTCACTCCCAGAAGCTTGATCTCCCTAACTGCCTACTTTAAAGTTACTCTTGAACATTGCACTTCTTTTTCCTCATGAAAGTTCTTGAGAAGTCTCATGCTTGAGTGGTTTACCAGTAGTCCCTGCCTCATTATGGTGATTCAGGGATATCAGATAGCCAGTGTAATTCTCTATTCCTAAAAATCATAAAAGCAGAGATTACTAATGCTTTCTTAGACTGTAGGAGCCTGGCAGACAAAATCTAATGCATACCTGTACATTCATAAGAGTAGCTTTGGTTGGCTAGCAGTTGTATTCTTGAATAGTCTTTTTGAAGTAGTCTATTAAATAGGCACCTCCTTAGTTAACTAAAATTCTCCTGCTGTAATATAACTTGTACAGCCTGAATGAGATGATATAGTTTGTAAATTAATTGTATATGTTTTCATTAAAACATTTCCTTCTTATAGTCAGTGAATTTTATTTTACATATCCCCAGATCACAAGTGAAAAAAATCCACACACCACAGCCAAAAGATTTACTGTCAAGTTCATTGATTTATAGGCAAGAACTTTTCTCTGGTTTGAATCTTCTTCTTCATCAGGCAGAAATGATATATTTTATTATTCCTATAAACGTACTTGAAATCCTCTTGGATACCTGGTCAAAAGGATGTGATCACTTAATTTGACTTTTATTAAAATAATATCTTATAAAAATTGTAATCACTTTGATTTATTCTACTGATGCCCTAGTGAAGTCAGTCATACTTTTGAAGGGACAAAATTAGCCATGATGTTCTTTCATTCATTTGCCCTTTTCTCATTTTTCTGGATTAACTGTGGCTATAAGGGCTGTATCATTAGAAATCATCATACAGATGTATATGTATACCATGAAAGCCAGAGAAAAAGAAGGCAGAGAAGGTTTGATCTTTTTGTGTATCTTGAAGTCAGCAAAAATAGTATCTAGCTAAAATTACTGGGTTAGGGCTGTAGCAATAATGGATAATGGCATGATGCTGAAAATTCAGAGTAAGACAGGTTTTACTCAGTCTCAAATCTTTACCCAATATATATAATGAGTATAAATTAAGCAATAACATGCCCACTGACTAATGCTGTTTTTGTTACTTTCAACAAACTCTTTTGTAATATCATAACACTTAAAGATACATGAGGATTTATAGACAATCTAGTAGCAAATTTGAATTCAATACATAATAACATTTATTAAGTAATTAATATAAACTGACTTCATACAATATAGGTACAATGTTAAATTAATTGGGCATTTAGAAAAAGATCTCACAACAATTCTATAACCTAAGTATAGTATTACTACTAGAGCATTTTAGAAATATTTAAGTAACCTGGCAAAGGTGACAACAGCCAGGTGTTGCCAGCATCAAGATTCAAGGCTTATGTTCCTAATTAGTATGGATTACTAAAATATTGTAAATCTGCTTTTCCTAAAGAAACATATCCTTTGATCCTGAGAACCCATTTCTGTCTAAACAGCAATTATACAGAAAATGTTAGTTTGCACTCATGATTACTCATTATTAATCAATTACCATTTTTTGGATAATTTGTTATTAAATTCCTTTTAGCTGACACATCTGTTGGAGTTTTCGTATGCACACTGGAATAAGTTTGCTAACTAAAACAATTCACATGGAGGTTTTTATATTAGCTTCAGGTTGCTACTGGGAACCTAGGTTATTTGTAGCATTTTTATTTTAAAATCCTGGGGTCTTTAAATTGTGACACCATAACTTGCATAGTAGGATATTGATAAGAACAGAGATGCAGGCGGCTATTCACTAGATATTTAAATGGCAAAAAAAAAAAAAAAAAATCCTGCAAGTTCCACACACCCTGCAGACTGCAAGTTTAGATAATAAATAACAGTTATCACTAGGACAAAGGAAAAAGTGCCATGAAATCCAATAGCTCAGTGAGAAATCTGCTAATATAGGTGGTCAAGATTGTCCCATTTCTTTGTCAAAGGGAGGCTATTTATTTTCTTCTGGGTAGCTAAATTACAGTCATTTATTGCTGCAAGTTTTCCAGTAAGCAGGTGTGAATCTCAACTTCTAAGTTTTCAGTTCAAACTTTGTGAAAGACAAGAATTCCTTTTACTAACAGCACAACTGATAATGTAAAATCTCTGACTAACATGAAGTAAGTGACTTTTGAACACTCCAACTGGAATCTCTTTACTGCAAAGCCCAAAACTTCTGGGTAGAATAAACAGTCATTTTAAAAGTTCTTTAACATTTGCCCTCTGACAGTTTCTTGACTGTGTGAGATGTCAGTGATTAGCACTTGCACACAGAAAAAAGATGGAGATAGATATTCCTCATGTACCAGAATCCCAGGAAACAGAGAAGTATTCCTAGTCACTCCCCAGTACTTATGAATGCGTGTCAAATTTCTTTACTTGTTCTTATTCAACAACTTAAATGTATATATTGCATATATGTATATATAATATGTTTATATTCTGAAATGATTTGAAGCAATAGAAATAATATATATTGTATCCATTATTTTTAGCAACTTGTAAATTTCTAGGCTTTTACTAATAAAATAGAAGAAAAGTATCCCAATGACAATTTTTTCTGCAGAAATTTTATAGACATTTTCATGTCAATAGATGGAGCTTTTCATTCAAATTCAAGTATATATTACATATAACAATTATGTTTTATCATTTGTTTTCTGCATATAGGAAATTGCTATTTAGCTTATCATTCATGCTCTATCTACCAAGTAACCTCTAAACCAATACGTGTATATAATTTCCTTATAAATTAACAATATCAACTTCATCAATCTTAGTTCATGACCAAATCCAAAGCTTCCAGGCGCTGGAAATCCAGGAAATTATCATAATCCCGAGGAAGACTATATTACACAGTTGAAAGTATTCAAATTTTATTTTACATTGCCTTGAATAGCAATTAAAATGTCAGAAAGGACAATCAGTTCACCAAAGCACTCTGTAAGGGAAATAACTTGTAACACTAGGTTAGCAGATATGGGCTATATCAACATGCTTGAAGCAACTGCGGATGATGAGAACTATGTATCCTACCTCTAGAAATCTGAGATTGAAGTTGGAAAATGGTTTCAGAAATTTTAGGTAACTATAAAAATATTCAGGTGACTAAACCTGTGATTAGTTCACCACTATAATACTCAACGCTATGGGAATAGCTAAGATCAAATGGATACATGAATATCATGTAAATGCAGTGGATCAGGATTTCAATAATTTGGACAATTTGGAGATAAAAAAACTTTAGTAAAATTAATTGGAAAGGATATTTTAAAACTTTGGTTGCATGTAAACAAATCCAAAATGACTACTACGTTAATGTACATATCTGCCAAATATCAATGTTATATATTTTTAGTTTTTTATTTAGAAATAATTAATGATATATAGGAGGCTGCAAAAATAGTACAGAAATTTTTTCTGTGCTTTTCACCCAGTTTCCCCAAATGTTACATCACACATAGGTAAAGAAGCATACTAAAACAGGAAACTGACATTTGTACACTATGTAATTTCTATATTATTTTATCATATGTGTAAACTCTTATAACTCCAATTAGCATATAAACTTTTATAAGTCATGCATTTTTTTAGATAGAAAATGCATTATATTTTTGCATAGAAATTTTCAGATAACTTCTACATACCAATAAAATGGGTATTGAAAAATTTTAATATCCAGGAAATTTTTATGTAGGAAATATTCACCTATATAGGCTAAAGTGCAGTTCTAGCCAAACAAAACATGCTTTAATAAGCTGATTTCTCGGTATAGGTCAGACAACACCATCATTCAACAGTCAATCCTTCCCAACATAAGAATGGAAAAAATGTTAAGCATAGTTAAAAACAAATTGCTGATAACTGTACTACTCTAAAACTCTTTTTACTGATGACCTACACACACATACAAACTTATCTCCTTTCTCAGACAGAGCACAGTATTTTGAAAGCATCCTTAAAACAGTAAAGTGATTAGTATAACAAATAAATATACATCTATGTACCTTAATAAACATACACAAAGAATCCAAAAAATAAATCAGCCAAATTATTCAAAACCAAATCAGCTATAGACTTTACTTTTCCTACAAAATAAATATAACCCAAATTGTTACATGCTTACTCTAAGTGAGCTCACAGCAAATGAGAACTATTACACACACACACTTATGCACCCACACACATGCACACGAAGTCTTACCTTGGCCATCTGTGCCTGAACACCATTTGCTTTGAGAGATGCTACTGCTTTTTGTGCGGCTGCAGGACTGTCAAAATCTACAAAACCATAACCTGTGGAAATACAAAACCCTCGTTAGTTCTCGCTGGCAGCTCATGTCTTTCACACTGATGAACTCAGGTTTATAGTCAGGCTCGCATGCATTGCTTCTGAACATAACCTGATTGAAGATAAAGGTTCTCAAGTCAGTAGCACTTACTCTTTTGGAAGATGCCTCTAGATAAAAATACAGTTCACTTTCTAGAGAGTGCTTTGGAGAGTAGATGGAAAGTCTATCTCTAATATTAATTTTCAAAGCCTTAAAAACTGATATCAATAAGAGTCACGATAAGAATTTGCATATAGTTACCAACAGCAACGGCAGTAATAGCTGCCACACAGTTGGCACTCATAAATACAGGTTGTCTGCGTGGGTGGGTAAAGGTTGTGGTGAGGTGGGTCTGAACTTGATTACTAAACCCATGTTTGTTTTTATTAATTTTTGTTTTGGTTTTTCCTGTATTAGGGATTAAACCCAGGGCCTTGGCACTGAGTTATATCTTCAACCCCTTTTTTATTTTTTTATTATAATTTTGAGACAGGGTCTTACTAAATCACTATGCCGTCAAGTGTGGGATTGAATTTGCAATTGGGATTGAATTTGCAATCCTCCTTCCTCAGCCTCCCGCGGCGCTGAGATTACAGGCAGGCACATCACGCTTCAGTAGCCCCTGCTTCTTCATTGTTGGACCTTGACTCTTTCTATGATATCATTTTAATAAACTAGTGCAGCTCCTCAGTGACCTGTGAAAAAGTGTGGTTAAGTACATAAATATTCAAGCTCTTAAAAACAAAAAAAATACTCATCTTGCTTTTTTGGATACTAGAGCAGCATCTGAGGGGGCAGAGAAGTTGTTCTAACCGTTCTGTGTGTGTGTTTGTGTACACATGACAAGGCCAAAGGTAGTAAGACAGAGTCAATGAGAAGGGAAGATTCCATGCCATTAAGGTAACTAGTATTCAGCCAGGCCTTAGCCTGATAGCAATGTCAGCTGCCAAGAATATTTAAAAATGTAAATCCTCAAGAATGAGTATGAGGGCAGCTTTGTCCACTTCTCCTAAAGAGCCTGCCATATATGTCCTGCACATTTTCCCATCTGTTGGGCAGGGTTTTGCTCTGTACTTTCATACTTGTCTCATTTAGAAGTTTTGGGGTGTCCCACAGAAGCATACCTCCTAACCATGTACTGTGAGCCCACATGCCAATAGGCAAAGAAGACTGCAAAGAAATTCAATTACCGAGTTGTTTCTTTTAATTAACTTTTTAATTTTCTCCCCTCGAATTCTGTCTTCTTTCTCTCCCTCCCAGCATGTTGTCCTAAAATGAACTTGTTACACAGCAGTGTACCATGAAATGCTCTTGAAAAGCTGGGCAGAGAAGCTGTGAAGTTTGTATTTCTAATCCAAAAGGAAGTGTGTTCTGTAAGTACTGCTAATTCTTCTCTTTTTACAAAATTCAAACTATCTGAGTAATAGAAACATTACCACCCACTAAGATAAATTAGGAAAAGAAAAAGGATAAAGTAGCACAAGCCAAGAAGTGTAATAAGGGAAAAAGGGAGAAAAATGAAAATTTAGACTTTTTCTTCCATGTACCAGTAACTGTGCTAGACGGTTGACTGGCTGACATATACTGAAGTCATAAGAGCTTTACGTAGTATTGACCTCATGCCCATTATATACATGAAGACACTGAGGCACTAAAGAGTTGGAATGGACCAAAGATCACAATGTCCTTAATTGGCAGATCAGTATTTGAAACCAAGCCTACACAGGGCCTTTCAAATACATCATACTATGAACTGTTTTATAATTCCCCTTTGTAAACTATTCTAGTAACCTCTGAAGCCCACCAGGGAGAGGATCTAATTCTTAAAAATTCATTGGATTTAAAAATAAGACCCAAATTAAAAACATTTCAAGACAGAATTCAACCTACCTCATTCACTCCATATATTTATAAGGCAGTATCTAATTTACAGTAGAACTCTTCAAAGGATGTTTGGATGGGAACTACCTTTCATCTCATAGATTTGTCAGTTTTCTACATTGATTTATAGGTTCGTTCAATAATAAAATCTTCTTCATCCAATATTAAAATAGTAGGTACCTAGCACACAGTTTATTAATTGTTAAAAAAATACTCTCAATTCCCACCATTATGCAACTTATAGTTGTGTAGGGAGAAGTAGCAAATAATTATGCAAATAAATCTATGGTTAAAAATGGCCTGGGTTCTTGGAAAGAAAATATAAGCATATAATATAGACTCTAACTTTGATTATTGGCAATTTTAAGGAAGCAGTGCCCTAAAATCATCTGTATTTCTAAAATAACAACTTAGCTGAAGATTAAATAGTTGAGGGCAGCAAAAGCAGAATGACAGAAAAGGCTTAAGGACTATTGAAGCAATTCAGAGGAATGGCAGCTGGCAGTAAACTGATTGGGTAAAACAAATTGAGTTATATTTTGGAGGTGGAATTAATAGGATTTGGTGATTGATTGGGTTGGAAGTAAGGTTAGTTAAGATAACAACAGGTTATCTACTTTTGTTGTTGTTGTTGTTGTTGTATTTGCTGTAAGCCACCTGCTGGGTGGAGACGTGATTTACTCAAACAGGGGGAAAGAGGGGGATCCGATAGGAGAGAGGGAAAAATAAAATATTGGTTTGGGACATGTTGAGTCAGAAAAGCTTGAAAGACACCTAAGTAGAAATATTCAGTAGCAGTTACATATACTGGGTTGGTGCTTGGAAAAGATGAAATGTAAAATATAAATTAGAGGGGAAACGACATAAAACGTTATTTATAGAGACAGAAAAAGACAAAAGGTTCCAATGTGTTATAAAACTTCAGGATTTGGAATTTAGCTCTCAGATGAAAAAGTGAATGAGCAAAGAAGGCAGAAGAAGAACCAGAGAGAAAGAGAGAGAAGAAAAACCAGAGAGAAAGAGAGAGAAGGGAATAGGACACCAAGTAGGACGAAAAATTCCAAGTCAGACGCAACTGAGAGAGTGGGCGGTCGGGAGCTTGGGCGTGCCCGTCGCGTTGAGGAACAAGACACCGTTATCATGATCTTCTGTAGGAAAGCAGTGGGGGTATGGAGCCCACCTGAGAGGCTGAAGAACAAGAGAAACGAGGCAATAGAGACTGTTTCCGGCTTTTTCCAGTTTTCTTGAGTGGGAAGAAGAAATAAGGACAGATTTAGCTAGCAAGGAATGTGAAATCTATGGAGGTTTTTGCATTGCTTTACTTTAGAATGTGTGTGTGTGTGTGTGTGTGTGTGTGTGTGTGTGTGTGTGTTTATGGGAGGTGGATATCTTTGTCTATTCCCTACTTCGTTCTGGTGTGGAGGTAGGGTAGAAGTCTACTGAGAACTGCGAACTCATTAAGTCATTCAGCAAATATTTACTGACTACCTACTACAGGGCAAATAATGTTCTTTGCATTTTTGTATGTTGATAGGAAAAGTAAAGCAGATAATAAAAGATTAAGGCTGCAGAAAGGCATTCAGTATTGTTCTCCAGAAGGCAGAGAGGTAGACGATTGTAGGACATAGAAGAAAATGCTCCTCCTTGGCTTATAGTAACTGAAAAGAAAAATCAAAAGTCCCTTTGGTTACTACTTATTATTTCTTTATATAACCCAGTTACTAGGACTGTCCTTAACTCATATCCTGTGCTTGATAAGTATTTGTTAAAATAAATTGAAAACACATTTGAAAGACGTTACCTTACCTTATGGACCACCATGGTGATTAACTGACAAAAATGGCTATTAATTCCTTTGGACTGTGAAGGACAGTATAAACACTACACGGTCTGGACTCTGGCTCAGCCACGCTGGACCAGCACAGCAGCCTCGTACTGTGTGCCTCGCCTCCTGCACTTCGCTTTGGTAGGGCTTCTTCGCTCTGGCTTCCTCCCTTTCTTTTCACCCCCGCACATTACACAGGATGTTACACAATCAAGAAGCTAATCTGCAGGGATGAACTCCTGTCCAAACAAGACATTTCTGGGAGGCCTTGGGACACTCAGCTTTGTCTGAATCGGGGAACTTATGGCTGAACTTTGAGAAAAGAGTACTTCTGAGGAGTCATAATGTCAGCAAGGAGAGATTGGCCCCTGGGTAGAAAACATCTGCGCTGATGGCACCGAGCCAAAAAAGGAGCAAAGGCTCCATGCACAAAATTATAAACAAAGGACAAGCTACCGCATCTGAAGTATTTCACCACGTTCTATGACTTCCATATATATTTTCACTCATTAAAATGAAAGTTCAGAGGTAAAAATGTCTTAAGCAACCCGGAAATACACTCCCACTCTGGAAATAAGCATTGCATTCCTGAGCTGTGCATGACAGCAGATAGTACATCACCATCGGAAGAGAACACGGTGAAATAGGAGGCTGCTGCTGGAGAATAATGATGCAGTTTACTAAGGAAGAAAGCAGCTTCAATTTGGTTTCAATTTGCTTTCCTTAATGACAAATAATCAAGTCTGAGAACAAGAACCTCTGTACCTACATCTGGTGAGGGAAGGGGAGGGAGATTAGTTCAGCCCCAACTAATAATGCTTTACAGTAACTGCTAAAATCCCAGCAGAAGCCCAGCAAATGCTAACCATCAGGAACTTGGGCCCAAGTGGCGGTGAGCCCACCAATCTCGCTCCCTCAATTATGTAATTAAACTTACTTGGCAGCAGGTTCAAATGAATTAAAACTGAATGTCACTGTTCTGTCCACACATCCCTGTCCTTGTTTTTCTTCCTTGTCAGGGGGAGGAGGCCAGTAGTCCTGCCATTAGTAGGAAGCAGAGCAGTGAGAAAGAACGAGCTCTGTGATAATTAGGTCATTCTCCAAATGTACTCATTCCACTGACAGATCCAATCAATGCCTTTCTGAAATGCTTTAAACCTCGGTGCTAGTTGAGCATCTTGCTATTTTTACTACACTACCAGCCACATGACTTTATAGAAAAAATACACATACACATATATGTAACAACTGAATTTTAC